AAGAGTGTTATTTATTTTCATCCTCTTTTTCAAAGGCATAGATCTGGAACAAGACTAAGAATTTGATAGCCCATACATTATAATATCAAACCTTTGTGAGTAGTAACTGAATTAATGATAGACAGGAAAAGGATACAGTACATTTATTATTATTTTTAAGGATACTAGAATTGGTATGAACCTCAGAGTTTATCTTATCTAACCTCCTCATTTTGCAAATGAGGAATTTTAGGTCCAGAGAAGGTAAATTACATACCCCTGGTTACACATCCAGGGGCATAACTGAGACAAGAATCCATTAGTCAAGTGATCTAATTAAACAAATATATATATTGAATACCTGGTATGTTCCAGCCACCATTTTAGGCACTGCAGATCAGCAGTGAACAAAATACACATAATCCCCACTCTCATAGAACTTACTTTCTAGTTTGAGAAGACAGGAAATAAGAAAGAAATGCCATGAACTTGAAGTACTTCGATGTAAATTGGATGATGCACTAGGGAGCCACTGTGGAGCTATTTTGATCCAGGAAGGCTCTCCAAAAGGACCTTTAGCTGAAAATTTGCTGACTACCTATCCATTGCATTTGGGGCTATACCATATTCCTCTGGATTCCTATACTTTTGGACTGATAGTTCAGCTCAAGTCATCTTGCTAAACTTCATTATTGTGGGTTTTTTAAAAATATATTTTTATTGATTTTAGAGAGGAAGGGAGAGGGAGAGAGAGATAGAAACATTAATGTTGAGAGAGAATCATCAATCCGCTGTCTCCTGCATAACCTCTATTGGGGATCAAGCCTGCAACCCAGGCATGTGCCCTGACTGGGAATCAAACCATGACTTCTTGGTTCCTCTGCCAATGCTCAACCACTGAGCCACACTGGCTGAGCTAAACTTCATTGTTTTTACCTTCTCCTTTAGCTTTAGTATTTTAATAGAAAATGCTTGGAAGAATGTTTAATAGAAAATGCTTTATTATTTGTAATAATTGAAACCTAATAACATGTGGATGTCTGTAAACTCATGAAATAAAATCCTCCATAATACAGAGAAGAAATAAATATCTTACACCAAATCACTGTTCTTAGTATTTATTCCCTTTCAAAGTAAATGATAGTAGCAGGATTGACAGTCAACTTTGCCTTTTATGTTTATTGTTATACCCCAGCATGTGAAGAGGGCCTAGCATGTGAAAGGCACTCAGTACATACTTGGCAAATGGATGCATCAGACGCTGTCTCTGTACTCGTGTGGCAGGCATTTGGTATTGGTTTTAGAAAAGCATGGATATCAGAGTCTCAGACCCAGGCTGACTCATGGCACTGTCATTTACTGTGACTCTGGGTCACATTGTTCAGCCCATCTCTGGCTCTCAGCTTCCTCACTAGTTAAAACTGAGGAATAATTTCTGTTTCCAAAAGAGTTTGTGAATATTAATTACATAACCTCCTGTGGTGATTGTTAGGTACACAGCAAATAACTCAATAAATGTTAGTTCCCTTTCCTCTCATTGGCTAGTCGGCAGTTTGTCCATGGAGCAGATATAAGAGGAATACATAGGACAAAGCTGCTTTTCTGCATTTAGAGAACATTGCTGATGATTTATAAGAATGAAGTCGTTGTATCATAAAGTGATTTTTCTGCTCTTTCCTCTTTTCTACACAGCTTGTATTTAGCTTCAATGAAAAGCTTTTTAGCTTAGTAGTAAAGGATATTGAAGCCATGGATCCCAGCATCCTGAAGGGAGAGCAGGGGACAGGTAAAAGACAAAAGGTATGTTTTATTTATAATTTTTATTTGATAATCTCTATGCTGTGAATTGTGCAGATTAATAGAATTTTCCTACCCATTCTCTTGCTCAGTGATTTCTTTCATATTATGCACTCTTTCTTTTATGATAGTGGGGAGAAAAAATTGCTTTTATAGCAAGCATTATTATTTTTTTTTATTAACCTGTTTCAAACTTTATTCCCAAGCTTCTTCAGCTTAATTAGCTGCAAAGAATGATTTATGTATAAGCAAAAACTGAAAAGAGCTGCAATGTCCAGGGGCATTGGGCTAAAAAATATTAGAGATCTAGATTTTATCAGATCCATAAACAAAATTTGAAAAAGCAGTCATAATATAAAATAGTAGCTCCCAGAAACTTCTTCAAGTTTATCTTCTTCAGAAGTTGACTCAATTCAGTTTGTTTCATTCTTGGAAGCCTCATCAAAATTCTCCCCAAGATCTGGAACTTCATCATCATCATCCTCTCCAGTAGCAAGTGGCACGTTTCCATCCACAGATTGTTTGGGCAGAACGTCAGCCAGTCTCCTTAAACTAGTCAGACTGTCTGCACCAAGCTGGTTTAAGATGCTGGGTAGCATTTCTGTCAGCTGCTTTGTCTCAGCATGGCCTGTAATGGTGAAAGTGTTCGCTGCCAGAGATGCCTGAACTTTAGGGTTGTTAAAGTGGATCACTGTCCCTTGGTTTGTAAACATACTTACCTCTTTAATACCAGAGATATTGTTTACCACTAACTTCTTTAAGGAGACTGAAGTTTTTTATCATCTGCTGTAGCTGTTCTGTGAACCACCTTCTCCTTTCTACCAGCAGTTCCTTTCCCACCAATGTGCACTTGTGCCTGCAGTTTGGCGAGTTTTTCTTGGTTCATGATAGTTTCTTCCATCTTGTTGGAGAGGAAACAGGGCTGCGCGGGGACTAGGGCTGACGCTCAGGGTGTCTAGGGCAGACCAGCTGAGAATAAGCGCACACATGCGGGGACGCAAGATGGCAGCTCAGCAAGTATTATTATTAAAATACTAGAGGCCCCATGCATGAATTCATGCACGGGTGGGATCCCTTGGCCTGGCCAGAGATCGGGGCTAATCAGGGCCTTGTCGCCTAGTCATCTCTCCCGTGGGAGGTTGGCCGGCCAGCTGTGGGGAGGGACCGCCAGAGGTTGGCTGGCTGCAGGACATTGGCTGTGGGAGTGCACTGACCACCAGGTGCAGCTCCTACATTGAGCATCTGCTCCCTGGTGGTCAGTGCACGTCATAGTGACCGGTCATTACGGTCGACCAGTCATAATGGTTGCTTAGGTTTTTATATATATAGAAGGCATAAAATACACTTATTTGCAAACCTACTAGTAATTTGAAATTTGTAATCCTGGTTGAATAATATGTATTGATAATATGTATAATAAGTAATAATAAGACAGATATTATGAAAAGATATATGCATTGAAATAGAGAAAACTGGAATAATTGTAAGGTAGCTATGCAAAAGTAAATGTAACTTAAATGATAGTTTGAAGATTTGCTCTGCTCAGAGAGACATCATTTCCTCTTTGTTTTTGACTTTGCTTTAAGAAGTCCAGAAGTCTGCTATTAGACTACTAATTATTGTCTTTCCGTACAGATTGAACTAGGGCTGGTTCTTGGAAATAGTCAAGTTGCATTTGAAAAAGCAGAAAATTCATCACTCAATCTTATTGGTAAGACTTACAGTTTTTAGAGGATTCTGAATAACTCTGTTATATGTGATTCAACTACAGTGATTTTCAAGTGGCAAAGAGAATAGGGGCATCGCCCTTGAAAGCTTTTCCCAAAATCACAATGAGCTAATGTAAGTTTAGGCTTACAGAAGATTTGCAAAAATAGTTCAGAGTTTCTGTATACCCTTTACCAGCACCCTCTGATGTTACATGTTAAATAACCGTAGTGCGGTTACCAAAGCTAAATTATCATGGTTACATTGCTGCTAACTAAATAGAGACTTCACCAGTTTTTTATTATGTCCTTTTTCTCTTTCAGGATCTAATTCAGGACCCACATTGCATTTAGTTGTTTAGTCTCCATAATCTTCTCCAGTCTCTGACAGTTCCTCAGACTTTCATGGTCTTGTATGACCTTGAGAACTGGTCAATTATTTTGTAGACTGTCCCTCACCTGGTTGTATGTTAAATGCAATACTAGTGTCACTTTTGTTAGTGATGGAGTTAAATGACGAATGTGCAGGTAAAGAAAGTCTTTCCAACAGATTCATTGTGTAGTCCTATTCTTTTATATTAGCCCCACTTTTAAAAGCAGACTGAGCTTTAAGAAGAGCAGCTCACCAGAATAATAATGCCATGAACTTTACAGCAGTTATTATTTTTTTTAATTTAATAACTAAGTTGATGTTTACTCCAATAGAAAGTAGAGAATTTTCTTTGGTTGCATACTATCATATCCAAGGTTATTTAATTTTCTTGGAATGTATAGCCTTTTTTAATTCATAAATTATTATTCCCTCTTATTGTTTTTTTCTTAATTATAAAGTAAAATATTTATTTTATAAAATATGAATAGACACCCAAACACAACTCACACTTTTAAAATTTTTTAATTTGATTCTGTTTTCATACTGTTTTATAATTTATTCTTTCTGATTAATATATTTCAACCATCTTAATAAATACACCTTTCAACATTAATTTTAATAACTATGTCATATTATGGGTGTGGGATATATCAAAATCTGTTAATTTTTTATTTTTTAAATATATTTTATTTATTTCAGAAAGGAAGGGAGAGGGAGAGAGAGAGAGAAACATCGATCAGCTGCCTCCTGCATGCCTCTTACCCAGTATTGAGCCCACAACTCGGGCATGTGCCCTGACGGGGAGTCAAACAGTGACCTCCTGGTTGAGCCACCCTGGCTGGACTCAAAATCTCCTGTTACTGATCAAATACATTTCTACAGTGTATTTTATGTTCTGTACACTTTTTTTTTTTAATCTCAGAGGAATTGTGTGACTTTCATACAGTGTGAGTATTTCTAAGTAACTTTGTGAAGGTGTGATTGATAGGTTTTTCCCTGTGGAAAATAAAATTGTGGTGATTTAGCATACAGTAAGTTTGGCCACAAGAGGGCAGTACAGTGTAAGAAAAACATTTTCTGTAGCTTTGTAAAGGAAATGCTAAGTCCACAAAACTCTAACCATAAAACTACCATTTAAGATAAATTTTTTCTAATGCAACCTTTTCTTCCCTAATTTAATAAAACCTATAACATTAATTTTTTTATTTATAGTAGTGTATTCCAAGGCACTTTTATTCTTTGTATTTGTGGTAGTTAATGTGGTTCTCTGGAGTTACTTTAGGTGGCACTATGGCATTTAAATGAAATAATTTGTGTCTGAAAGAATTTGAAAACACCAATTTTGAAATCATTAAAGACATTAGGATGATTTTAGACTTTGATGTACAAGTGAAGAAAAGCAAATAAGACACCAAACAGTGCATTTTCTCAGGCTGAGGGGTTCATATACTCAATTATAAATTTAATCTAGATAAATACATGTATTTTTAAATACACTTGCCTTAGGAGCCTGAGGGACCGCTAGATTTCAGTTACATTTCTGGCAGCTGGTGTTGTCTTCATCAGATATGCACATGGTGTTTCTTCTAATCAACCAAATTAGTTAACTTGGTTAGGATTCCATGGATTGATTACAAATGGACTACAGCATGAGTTTAGCTAGTCATTTTGAAAGTTTTTTTACTGACCCTAAAGGGGGACCAGACAAAATAGTTAACATAGCAAAACTCATTCTTCTTAGAAAAGCAGCTAAGAGCATGTTGTTCATCTTTGTACAAGGGTAGCCTCTCTTTGTTCATTGAGGATGCCCCATGAGCTCTGTCTGTCTTTTTACACTTACTGATGAAGTTCTTGTTTCACATTTGATTATCTTTGTTTAACATAGGCAAAGCTAAAACCAAGGAAAATCGCCAGTCTATCATCAATCCTGACTGGAACTTTGAAAAAATGGGAATAGGAGGTCTGGACAAAGAATTTTCAGATATTTTTCGACGAGCATTTGCTTCCCGAGTGTTTCCTCCAGAGATTGTGGAACAGATGGGTGAGTTTTAAAAGGAGAACTTGATAAAACCTTATATTGTTTTTTAAAAATAAATGTCATGAAGTTTCTTTTCAGTAATGTTTTAAAATTATTCTTCAGACCTTCCAAAGTATTTTTCTCTTTTAACTTCTTCTAAATTTTTTTCCCTAAAAAAAAAAAAATCTTTGACAAGTTAGAAGTTTAAAATTACATTTTAAATGTATGCAGAAATTATAGAAATATTTGTGGTTTTGCTCCATTTTTAAAATTAATTAATTTATTTCCTTATTCAGGTCTTTTTCTACTGTACATATTTAGACATATCATTTTATTTAGTTATTTTAATGTTTAATTAGGGAATATTTAAAAATTTCACCCAACTCTAAAGATACACCATGGGTCAGATCTTGCCTGCTGGATAATTATTATCTATTAGACTGTGGGCATTTTCTAATATTAGCTGCTGCTTCTTTGTAGTGTGCTATTGCATTACTTAATTAGTACATCTTCATACCTAGTAAATGGATATTTGGTATGTTTTTAAGTTTGTTAAGTTTGATCCAAATGCAAGGTATACATAGGCATTTCCATATTACATACAAAAAATGCACTATTCATTTATCACTTTTCTTCTTTAAGGTTTATTTAACTTATCTGTGTGAAGTGGCGTTATTTGCCCTAGTGGAAATGCTGTCATGACTGTTTTCATATCCATATTATAAGTTGGATTGGAATGTGAGCCAGAGAATATAATATCTCAGAAAGGAATTTATAACATAACAGCTTCTGGCAGACTATTAGTATAAAAACAGTATCCAAAAAAACCCTGAAGGAATACGAATATATTACTCCTCTCACCCCCATCATTCTTTATCTTTCAATTGCTACTTGGAGATAAAAGTATATTCATAATGGTGGGGTAAGAACTGCTTTCTAGGCACTAAGGGCTTGGTTCTATTAGCCTCCTATTGTTGGTAGCTTTTCTGCCTGGTCGCTCACTCTGATAAATTACAGGCATAGCACACACCTGTTCACTGGGTAAAGGTCGAATTTGGAATTGGATTAAGAGAAAATGACAGAGAACCTCATCACCTGAGTTTTATACACCTTGAAATGGCAATAACATACTTTTTTATCTGAAAGATACAAAGGCCAAGTCCATAAAAAACAATTTTAATTTGGAAAATAGTAAAAAGCATGATAGTTCACTGTCTTGGCAATGTATATTTTAAGGCATAATCAATCCATAAGGCTTTTTTGATCAAGATATGAAAATGTTAAGTATATTGTAAGTATAGGCAGAGATAAAAGGATTTCAAATGTTGTAATTTATTCTTGTAGAATATTTTTTCTGGATTTTAAGAGCGAGCTCTGATATAGAAAGAGCCTAATGATTCTGTTTCTTTGAGCATTATACTAACCAGCCAACAAGCAGAAGAATAACTGCTTCTGTAAAGCCATGCTTTTAAACTATATTATGAATATTTTCTCACCGTTGGATACTGTGGAGGATTCAGCTATTCAGACACTAGTTTTGTGTTTGTGCATCTAAACCCTGCTCATTAGGGCCTCTGTCTGAGTTAGGTAGTTCATAAAGGAGTAAAACTCATATTGGTTGATTTGTGATTTTGCCAGCTGTCAAAGAATTTGAAATTAAACCAGAACCGAGACAGCATTCTGAGGGACTTTAGTCTATGTTTCTGCAACCCATATTGAAAATGATTAAATTATAATAGTATGCTTTTATTTTTATTAACATGCCTTTTGACTAAGGACCATCGATTTGAATTTTGTTTGTGAGTGCTACTACCCAGAACTCTTTTTATGTACTTATTTTTCTAATGTTTTTACACTAATTTAATTAGACAAAAAAGAGTTCTGTCATGTTGTTTGTTTGTTTGTTTGTTTGTTTTTGTAAGTGATATATCTTTTCATGCCTTTTTCCCATCAAGAAGCATGTGCTATAAATTTGATTTAAAAGAGAGTAAATATAAAGCTACCTTGGCTTTTGAGCTGGATTGAAAGACGTTGTCTTTATTCTGAATAAAGATTCTCAGTGTCCTAAAGCTACTCATTTTAATGTTAAAATGGCTGTGAACTAATTCTCTTGTTATGCATGTGTCATTCCCTATTTTCCAATAGAGGCTTCTTTTTTACTTTTAATTTTGAGGACTTATTGCACTCCAAGAACAGTGTGATTATAAAGTTCTCATTAGGCAGTGGTAAAGTTATATAAAAAATACAAATTGCTACTTTTAGCTAGAATATAAAATAATGCTATATAAGTCCTTCTTATATATACCTTGTGTTCTTTTACCCTGCCAAGTAGAAACAAAATTGGTTGATAATTTTGCTTACTCTTGGTTAACTAAATAGATAAACCTGTATGGTTGTGGGATCCAGTTGGACACTGGGAATGATTAGTTAAATCAATTCAAATGAAAAAAAAAAGATTAGAAAAGAATAATTATGGGGCTGTTTTGTTTTGATTTAAGCAGAGAACTTTTTTACTTTTGGCTTGAGACCAAATCATTACCTTTACCATGAAGTCTAGAGTTATGTCTACTTTGCAAACAGGAATCTTAACTAAATGGATGTTTTTGCTTGTACATCAAAGTTTGAAGCTCAAAAAGTGATAAATTTAGAATTCTATTGTGTCATGTTTATGATACTGATAATTATGCTTCTAGGTAATATAGTTCTTTCTTTTTTGCTTGTAAAACTTCATGTTTCTTTTTAAAATTGAAAATATAGTTTAGATACATGCAGAATGTTGCTGATGAGATGTAGGAAGACAAAAGGACTAACCAGAGGCACACAGTTATGAACAAAATTGGGAATCAGATGAGGTAATATACATGAAATAAGTGTCCTATACAGGATGGGGCAAAGTAGGTTTATAGTTATGAGTATGCAAAACAGTTATTCTTGCATTATTATTTATTAATTGTTGTATTATTTTTCATACGAGCAACTGCAAACATACTGTTATGTTAGTTTCCAATCTTTTAGTTTCTTGAAGTATTTTCAATTATGTAATATATACCTTGCTGTTTTTGTTATAATATTTTTATAGAATTCTAATTAAGGAAAGCCTTAAATGGGAAAGGAAGTCACATACCGTCCTACAGACAGAGGAAGAAAGGCCATGTGTAGAAATAGGAAAAGGGATTACATAGGGGGAATATCAATTTTGTTTTTGTTGTTGTTTTCATCAGTGTAACTATGTACATTTTCCTTCTCTGTAGCAGTTGGACTCACCCAAACCCCTGTAGGGCAGTTCTTCCTTGGAAGTATATAAAAGCATTCACAAATAAAACTAGTTTCATACCTTGCATTTAGTGAATACCAAATAACTATTTAGTCAGAATATCTTCCGGGCCCTTTAATGATGGATGTTTAGTTACAAATGACCTGAAGTCCTACTTTGTGGGATAGTAGAAACACCTTTTGAGTGCCAGGGTAGAAATATGGGCATCAAGAACCAGTATCTGGAAGTGCAGGTGAATAAACTCAACAGCTGACTGCCGTCCTTGAGAACACTTAGATGTCAGTTGAACATACACGTTTGCCACACTTGGTCCTTTGCATGCAGCTTTGGAGAGTGCTCAGGATAAACGATTGATTTCCTCAGTTCTCATTGTAGCTCTTTTGTTGGCAAAGAGGTTTTGCAAAGAAACTTCATTTTTCAGCACCCCTGGCAATTACCTCTAAACTGTAAATGTCACAGAGGAAAAAAACACACATACAAATCCTGTTCAGAGAACAGTGGAATAATTGTTAAAGAATTAGCATCCCTTAATGTAATTTTAGGACTAGGTTCACATGTATTCAAGGAAAGGGGCTTTGGTAGAAGTTATCCATTTTAGAGCTAGAAGGAAAAGGGTGTAGAGACACTAAGTCTTCAAGCCTCATACTGTCCTTTGGTAGATCTATACCTTGTAGATATCCAGGCCACCAAGTGGGAGGAAAGCCACTTGTTATGATCTTGTGCCCCATTCTTCCAAACAGACAGTGTGTTCTTTTTGGTGCCTTTTCCTCTGTGCCTTCCTCTTTAAGCCCATTTTCAATCTGTATTTTTAAGGTTTCTTTTGAAATTCTAGAGGAAAGCAACTCTTTTCTGCTATCATATGTGACTACAGTTACTCTATAAAGTAGGACTGCTGAGAGATAAGGACCCTTTCAATCACATGCAAACATCTTTCAGATGCTAAGAACAGTGCAAATAAAATAGAGTGGAAGAAAGAGCACTAAGGTTTTGAACATGCCATATTAGGGAGAGAGGGAGTTCTTGCTAAGATTAACATAAACACTGACACTCTTAAAATGCATTTTCACACCCCCACTCATGAGCTGAGATTGCAATTTAAATGGGGGTTAAGACAGCTAGCCGAACTCCAGGGCTCTGTAAAAGGAACCCTAAGGCTAAAGAGCTTATCTGAAATTTGAAAAAAAAGAAGAAAAAATGAAGCTTTCTGACATTCATCTTTTTCCCTTGTATTAGTCATAACTTGCTTTTCAGCTATATTTTAGATTTTGAATGCCAACCTGACATCTGTTCAAGTCTGCCTGTAATTTATTAGGAAAGCAAAAGAAAGCAATTGCTCGCTGGTTAGAGATGCAAAACTTCCCCCGTCTGATTTTCCACAAAGTACTTATAGATGATACTTGGATATGAGGAATGTAACAGTTTAATAATTTACTAATTCTAACTTCAGGTTGGGAACTGTATAAAGTTTTTTTTTTAATTAGAAGAAAATGGCTTATGATCATGTGACTTCCAAATCTCTACAGCAGAATTTAGAGATCAAGCATACATTCTAAAAAAATAAAATACTATTGGTATAAATTGAAATTTTTAACCTTGAATTAATTTTACCATTGGTTTTAATTTTAGAAGTTGAATTTACTTACACTTGAATAGAAATCATGTGGCTGTGCCTATATCTCAGAGTCAAACTATATGCAAATTCAGCTGGCATTTTTTATTTATAGACAAATTTTAGAGAAAAATCTTTTGG